AAAACAGACTTAACTTATCCCGTGTGAATGTGCCGCACGAAACACAGACGAGGTGATGTCATTTCTAAATCACATGAGGTCCCCAGGTAATACTAGTGCCATGTGAATAGGGCTTTAATCATATATGATTCCATGCAGTTAGTTAAAATACGAGCACATAATTGAAGTTCTGAGTTCAAAATTGACAGAGGTCTGAAATTACTGCACAAAGTATTGTTGGGGTTTTGCAGAGCTAATACACAGGCAACATTTAAGTTGGGTTTTAGTATATAGTAACATTTGGTTATTAAATTAATAAAAATAATTACCCTTAATTCATTATTAATATACTGTAAAACAACAATATTATTAACTAGAGTTAAAAAACAGGAGCACCACTGTGGGATCAGAGAACATGAACCAAATATCATAAAATCAGTCTCAAATGAATGAATTAAATACTAATATTATCAATAATTAACAACCTGTATTTAATAAATTACAGACGTGAAATCTGTACATAAAGCCCTCGCAACTAGTTGTATTACAATGCAAATACACCAGTAATCACAAACAACTGATCTTAAATAAAACAGAATTTATTTGAACAAAGCAACATCAACTGCAATCAATGAAACTCAATCAAACAAATAAATAATAAAGAAACATCATCAGTGTGTTTCTTGTTGCAGGTATCAAAGATGGCAACACCTGCAAAATCAGAGGGAAGAGTTTCAAATGCAAGAAGAACGTTTTTTGGCCGACCTCCCACCTGATTAGTGAGTAAAATGTATTTACAACATATACAGTATGTATTCTTTTAGATGAAGCTATGAACATCATTTAAATGTTTTTTTCTTCAGAAAGGTAAATAGATTTTTGTTTTCACATATATTTAAAATTATTGTTCCTGCTGATTCAGAAATATCTCATAAAAACTCAGGTTTGATTTCCATATGAGAAGCTGGGTTAATCATTCAGAGTGAACCAGATCAAGTCTGACTGGACTAATCTTGAAGTTTTTCATCTGTTGTTGTGGTTTGATATCTAACTATCTAATCTTTCTCTCTTTTTCAGCTTTCTCAGTGATGATGACCAATCATCAAGTTCATCTGATCCATCTCTCCACAGTAATGACGACCAATCATCACGTCCATCTGATCCATCCCTCCACAGTGATGACGCCCAATTATCACGTCCATCTGATCCATCTCTCCACAGTGATGACGCCCAATTATCACGTCCATCTGTTCCATCCCTCCCCACACGGTAAATTGATTTTTGTTTTCACATATTTATATAAATTATTGTTCCTGCTGGTTCAGAAATATCTCGTATAAAAAACTCAGGTTTGATTTCCATTGGGAGTTAGTGAATTGAGGAAAGCTGCTATGGCTGCGGATTCCTATGAGTTAACACATAGAGATGGGCCTTGGAAAGGTAAAGTTGGTAGACAGGGAGTTTCTGACAGACCTGTTGAGGCTGTCATGACAAAGTCTGCTCCTACCTTTGCTCAGCCACAAGGTTCATAGAAGAGGCACGACAAGTCACACGTATCTAGGAATTACATTATTTGTCATTACTGCAAAAGGCCCGGCCATTTGAAGTCCAAATGCCTGAGTCTTAAAAAGAAAAATGGCGAAGCCAATATTGTGGGGTTGATTGGTGCCCAGATTCAGACCATTCCTGGTGACATTGGCAGTTTTAACCTGCTGTTTAGCCCAATAATGGAAGGATTTGAGGGTTTTGTGTCCAAAGGTGCTGTTTCTTGTACCTCTGAGGGTGAAAAGGTCCCTGTCAACATCTTGAGGGACACAGGTGCAAACCGGTCCTTGTTGCTGCAAGGTGTTCTTGGTCTTTCCCCCAAAACCTATTTGAATGTATCAACCCCAGTAAAAGGCATGGGAGATGGTTTTGTTAGTGCTCCCTTACATAAAGTATTTCTGCAGTCCAACATTGTGAATGGACCAGTAGAAGTAGGTGTGGTACCAGACCTGCCAATAAAAGAGGTGGCTTTTGTGTTGGGCAATGATTTGGCCGGTACTCGTGTTTTGTGACACCGGTTGTGAGTGAGCAACCCTGTGAGGTCCCAGAGACCTTGGCTCTGGAGAGAGAACACCCTGAGGTGTTTACAGCAAGTGTGGTGACACGAGCTCAGTCCCGTGCGGTTGAAAAAGAGAGCTTCAGTGAGGATGATGACTTTTCTGGGGGTTTGGCCGACAGATTTTTCGCTAGGTTAGCTGAGGTAGCCCCCTGCTCTCGGTTTTCTCGTGACGCCCTTGTATTAGAGCAGGAAAAGGATCCCTCTATAGCTTCTCTGAAACAAACGGCGGGTAGTACTGAAGATCATGTCATCAGCTTATCATCCCCAGTCCCAGAGTAAAGGTAAAACCAGAGCTTCTGTATATGGAAGAAATTGGTGCGATTGAACAGGGTTCAAGTGAGTGGAGTTCTCCTTTAGTCCCTGTTCCCAAGCCAGATTTGACTGTTCGTCCTTGTATTGATTACCAAAAGGTAAATAATGTAACTAAAACTGATGCATATCCTATACCGAGACTGGAAGACTGTATTGACAAGATTGGCAGCGCTCAGTACGTGTCAAAATTTGACTTATTGAAAGGATATTGGCAGGTGCTCTTGACAGATCGGGCAAAGGAAGTATCTGCGTTTGTGACGCCTGAGTGTTTGTATCGCTGTCTGGTTGCGCCAGCAACGTTCCAAAGGTTAATGAACTCAATAACCTCTGGACTGAAAAACACTGTGACATATTTAGACGATGTGGTTTGTTTTAGTTTTAAGTTTTTATTCTAAACATCAGCTGATGCGCCTCTTAGGTATGTCTGGCTTTTACCGTCGTTTTGTTCCTAACTTTGCTGCTGTGACGACACCACTTACTAACCTGCTAAAAAAGGGGGTCAAGTTTAGTTGGTCAGTAGACTGTCAAAAAGCTCTGGAGATGGTTAAAGCCATCCTCGCTAGTGAGCCAGTACTGGTTGCTCCTGACTTTTCAGCCCCATTCAAGCTGGCTGTTGATGCTTGTGATGTAGGAGTGGGGGCGGTGCTGTTGCAGATTGATGGGTCAGGAATAGACAGGCCTGTTGCCTACTTCTCTAAGAAACTGAATCGCCATCAAAAGCGTTATTCCACCATAGAGAAGGAGGCCCTAGCTCTTGTTCTCAACACTTTGAGGTTTATGTCTCTAGTAGTGGTGGGGATCTGGAGCTTCTGACAGATCATAATCCACTTACTTTTCTTGCAAAGTTCAAAATCTCAAGTCAGAGAGTTTTCCGGTGGAGTCTGATTCTCCAGCCATATAACCTGACAGTCCGGCATTTACCGGGTAAAGAAAATGTGATAGCCGACACCCTGTCGAGAGCCTGAGTGTGTTTTTTATTTTTGGAAGTGTTTAGGTGTTGACATTGTTATAATAGTAGTGTACAGACTTGAAGAAGTTGAGTGATGCGACTACTAAGATAGATACATTTTTAGATAGAAATAAATAGTCAATCTCAACTCCAAAGTAGACATCATGCAAATGTCTCAGTTTTAAGAAAAGGAAAAAAAAACATTAATATAAAAATGATAAAAAATAAAAGGTTGGATCATAATAAAAAAAAGTTTTTGTTATAAGGGGGAAGGAATGTTAGGAATCGGTAAGGTTCTTCTTCTTCATCCTTATCTGTCTGTTTTGTTAATCACTTTGGACTGGTTTTCATGGGGAGAATAGAGAATGGGTTTAAGCTGTGTTTACTGGTTTGTCCGATAGTCTTGAACGCACCATTCCTGAGGTGCGCTCAGAGCGGTGCTCTGTCGCTTTAAATGACGTAATACGACAGGTGAAGTGGCAGCTGACAGAGGACCCGTATGGACGCCAACTTGGAAGCTGTCAGACCGAACAGATGACCCACTCCCATGAACTTGTTTTAGTAACCAGCCGTATCTTATGTGATCCAACTACAACAAACAAAACTGAACTCAAACACAAAGCCTTGGGCTCGTCTGGTGCGATCAGGCCGTCGGTGCCCCGGCAGACCCGCGTATAGCTGACCTAACCCTGATGTGAGAATCAGTCCTTTCCGTACCTGTCATCTCTTGACTTCTCTGTCACACTTCAGGTTAGGGCTAGTTTTGTTGTATGTATATGTGTAGCCGGTGCTAGCTCGTAACAACAGTGATGGCGCCCAATCATCACGTCCATCTGATCTATCCCTCCACAGTGATCAGTCAAAAGGAAAAAAAGATTAATTTAAAAAAATCTGAAAAAAACAACCCAATCAAGTAAGTGTATTCATCAATGAATCCTGACAGTCATGTTTGTACACACACACACACACACACACACACACACACACTGAGTCTGTTTTGCTGCATGTTGAAAAAACAAATACAATCTCATGTTGAGTCGATCATGTTTGCACTCTGAAAACTTTCATCTGTCTTTATTATTTTCACAACAGGTTTGTTTTTCTAAGTTCTTTTGCATCCTTCCAATCCGTGTTCAGGATCAGTTTCTGTGTGTAAATTGGTGGTGTTCCTTTAATGTGTAGTTTCAGTATAGCTAGCAGCGTATCAAACTCTGACATCCTGAAATACACCTGAAGTGATGCTGATCATTCTGCAGCTCTTTTATCAACAGGGGAAACTCTCCTGGCTCTTGTCTTGTTTTCAGGAGTGGGTGGACCCAGAGGTTTTTATTTATTTATTTTTTAAGGACTGAAAGAATCACAAAGTCATCCTCACAGCTCGATGACTCCATTCTGTCTCACACTGACAATTTTCAGAATGAAGAGAAGAATGAACACATCTGACTCAGACACTTACTTGATGTAAAGCAAACGCCATGCTCCTGTTTAAAAGATGTTGAAGTGATGTTGAGTTTTCAAGTCAAATGTTTGACTGAAACATCAACACCTCCTCTCTACTTTGATCCTTTGTGTCATTCATGGAATAAAGAAACAACACAGTGTTTAATGTGTTGCTCAGTGTCTGCTTTGCTCTTCATATTTCATTTGTAATAAAGAAACATCATCAGTGTGTCTCTTGTTGCAGGTATTTGCTAGGGCAACTTCTGCAGGGAGTGATGGGCATCGTTTTTTGGGCCTTCTACCTGACTGGTGAGTAAAATGTATTTACATCATTTACAGTATGTACTCTTTCAGATGAAGCTATGAACATCATTTAAATGTTTTTTTCTTCAGCAAAGGTAAAAGGATCTTTGTTGTCATGTCTCTATTGTTCATGAATGAATGTTTATTTCATATTTTGATAATTACATTTTATAAATCAACATTTTAAAGCCGGACCGTCTTCTCCTTCAGAGAAAATGACATGTTGCTTTATTAATGAACATTTTGGTCAACGACACAAAGTATAAATAACATGTTTCTTTGTACATTTTCTTTCTTACTCCATGCAGGATGGTGGAGATGAAGGAGAAAGAGGAGGATGAAGAGGAAGAGGAGGAAGAGGAGACCAAATCAGTGATCTAAAAGTCTGAACTTTGTGTCTGGACTTTGGGCTGACTGGTTGTTTGAAAACCATGTTGAGTATAATGATCTGTAGCTCTTTTAGTGACAGCTTGATTTGGATACTTATGGATAAAACAAATGTAAATGATAAGATTTGTTAGTGACATAAGATGATGAAGTCAACTCAGCCTTAATAACAACTGTTGTTTTCTATTATCTTACTGTCATCTGTGTACTCATTCTTTAATTTTCTCTGCTGGGATTCTTTTGATTGATTGAAGTCTTTATTTCAAATTTGTATTTTCTTTTCCCCCCCTTTGTTTCAGGATAAAAAAACAAACAAAACAGATCCACAAAAAGAAAAGTAAATAAGACAACAGAACATTTGAATTTCATGTTTGTAAAGGAGTGGGAAGAAGTGTAAATTTATAGAATCCCACCCCCTCTCCGTTAATCTGTAGTTAATAGTTGAACAGGCTTCCTTATTTAATCTTCATTTACGAATAAATAAATAACGAATCTGCAATACACATTTATATATATAAACCAATAAACATACAAAATATATAAATTAAATACAAATGTGTTTCTGCAAAATATAATTTCATCTATCATCCATTAAAAAAAGATAAGGACAGCACTCCAAATTTGTGTATTTAATTGCCAAACGAACGTTTCGAGCCGACGCTCTTCTTCAGCGTGTAACAGGCAATTTTTCAAACATGCACAGGTGTAATCAATTTATACTTGTCCAAGATGGGCACACCTCCATCGCAGTAGAGAGTCTATCATTGTTTGTCTATCATTTATCAACCATTGACATATTTGAACATGTATTGATTTCTTTTATCTTCTATATTCATGTTCTTCTCCCTTAATTAATGATATACAGTTTGTAGTAATACATTTAAGTTAGTGTTTTTTCTCCATTACCTATTTACCCTTCACCATACCTGTCAACATATTTACATATATACCTTCATTCCTTTTAAAAAAACTAACAGAAAAGAAAAATGAACAACCGTTATAATCACTATCATAACCACGCAGCAAATGTTTAGTCCCTTCTGCATCCTTATACTTTCTGAAAATGTTTTTATTTTTTTGTACATGTTTTAAAAGTTGTTTGTGCTTGGACTTGGCTTCAGCTCCACATTTAAACTGTTACAAAGTTTTATGCCAACAATAGAAACAGAAAAACTTCTGAATGTTGTGCGTGTGGCCAGAATTTTGAGATTCAGTTGTCTCCATATTGTAACCCCCCTCTCTATCAAAGAATAGTTTTGGGATATTTGCTGGTAGTAAATAGTTTTTTTTCTTTGTACAGTATTTGTGCTATTTGAAATTCTACAAGATCTGTGAGTTTGAGTGTTTTTGACTGCAAGAATAATGAGTGAGTGTGATCCCGATATCCAGCGTTATGAACGAAGCCTGTGGCTCTTTTCTGAAGTACGGAGAGTGAATACGGTTAACTTTTATATGTGTTGCCCCGAACCTCCTCACAGTAACTTAAATATGGTAAAACAAGTGTACTGTAGAGGGTATGGAGAGATTTGTGATTTATTTATCTATTGTTACCCCAAGAAATGTGTATACATAAACTCTTTCAATGTTGACACCATCTATTTGTAACTGTATTTTTGTGTTTGCTTTATATTTACCAAATAAAATGATTTTTATGTGATTCAAATTTAATGACAATTTATTTCTATCAAAGCACTTTTTTAATTCTTGCCATTTCTGTAGTAATAACCTCTAATAATTGTAGATTCTCACCTGAACAAAGAATATTGTTATCATCTGCAAATAAGACCAGCTTCAGTTTATTAGAGACTTTACATACAGTATGTCATTAATGTATAAAATAAACAGATTAGGACCCAACACTGACCCCTGGGGGATGCCATAAGCAATGTCCAAGCACGATGATTAAAACTCCCCCAACTTCACAAATTGTTGCCTACGATACGATCCCCCCTGATGCCATATCGTTCCAGTTTATTGATCAGTATTTCATGATTTATTGTGTCAAATGCTTATTTGTAGTCCAAAAATACCCCAACTGCTTTGTGATTTCCTCTTGATTCTATTAATGCGAATGATGTTGAATGGTTTGTCTGAATCTGTATTGTACGGTGGCTGGGAAGTACAAACCAAAAGACAAATTCACTCTATGGAAAACATTTTATAAAACAAAGATACAAAAGCAAAACACCTTTTACCAAGGACACAAATTATTTACATTTCAGAAAACAAATTTAAAAGGTGTCAAACACTTTTACGAGCGCTGAGAGGAATTTACAAATGCCAGAATCTTGACGGAAAGGGAATGTACCAAATGCCAGAAGCGGTCACTTAACCTGTTTTCACATATGCAGACTATTCCTGTATCACAATGTCAACTAAAGAGTGAGAACAACATACTGACGAACAGAAAACTTAATGCAGTCGTTTAATTACCTGCATGGAGATCGTACGGTGTATACACTTTATGCACCGTGCAGCAGTCACAGTATACACGTCACTCCCCCCTCCCATTGGCTCGAGGTGAATTCTCCAGAGAATATCCTGCTGCATTCTCACATCAGCTGACTTGGATTTGCTGTGGAAAAAAATACTATGGTGTGTGGCAGGAGAAACTCCGGGTGAAGTCTGAATGAAAAATTTGGCTGTTTGCGTTCACACA